GTGCTGATGAACCCGTGTATACTTTGCTAAAGTCACTACATGGCACAATGATTGATATTTATTGAAAGTGAGATGTTTCCCACGCCTGTCGCTTTTTAAATGACTGCCGATCGATAGGATAATGTGGAAGAAAGTGGACAATCAAGTTGAAAAGAGATCATGACAACAAGAAGAGCAGATAGGATTCTGAAATCCTCATTTATCAAGAGAAGTAGCTATATCATGAATATCATGAATATCATGCTATATCATGAATAATTTTTCAGATTCTTCATGAAAGACCTGACCTTAATAACACTGGAAAACTAAATGAAATCTTTTCAAAATGACTTAGAGATCAACTGAATTGGATGCGTTTAAACACTGGCAAATATGAAAATCTACTAGAATGCTTATTGTTAGATCTAGTTTTCACCATTCGTTATGACATATTCAAAGGATTCGTTTCGTCACTTGAATGGATGTTTGCTTTAGATCTTGTAAGCTATGCTCAGTTATTGCAGGATTTTTTATACAATAAGTGTATAAGCCGTGGAAAAAAAAATTTGACACTAGCAGCAAGAAGTAAAACTTTTTCACTTAATCTACGAGGCGACCATCTCCACAGAAGACCAAAATCTTCTGGAATCTTAAACGGTCTTCTTAGGGGGAATTTACCGCATTTCGCTTCAACATCACAATTGAAGTATCACGCCATGCTGATTAGGAAATGAGTGAACTATAAATTTAAATTCCTCAGAAGCTACACGAATATCCTATACCCCTCACCGATACAACTCTAAAGAAAATGTACCATCTTAATTTGCTTCTTTAAAGAATGTGAACTTGCATTAAGATACAAAAGATTTTGTCCATCTAGAAAGACGAGAGTGAGATAAACGACAATGAACTTGACGCACGTGTTCTCGTTTTCATATGACAGTTGGGAATGATGGCAGAAAAGATTGATTTGGTTCAATACTCTGTTGACGTCTGCATTCGATAGCTTCTGTAAGGAAAGTTGGACCGGATAGCCTCAGAGATAAATGTCATCTCTTTTTCATGTAGTCACAGATGTTTATCAAGTCTCACTAAGCTAATAAAATTTTTGCGAACCGACTTCGTTAGGAATCGCTTAAATGAAATCAATTCCTTTTAAAACTTCCATCTATATAAATAAAAAAGCGGTATAAGGGCTTCCTGTACTCTCCGTTTTTCTAAAAACAGCGAGGCAGAGACACTGAAAGAAAACTGTAAACATTATAGGGCAAAATCCGATGGAGGACTATATTTTGAATGAAAATACATGACGAGAAAACCGCATAAACGCAATAAAAGTATACTTGCAAGTAGAATACATGAGAACAAGTAGTAAAATGTGAAAAAAAAACAGTCATAGGCAAATATAAAAGTATAAAGCTCGTAGAGTTATTAGATTATACCGGTGCAGAAACATGAACAATGTGCAATACTCACTCCGGGATTCTGACAACGGACCTTCCGATTTCTATACGGATATGCTATTCAGTTATACCACGAAGGCAAGTGGAAAGAAAGCAGAAAATACCTTATAAGCTATAAATTTGCAGTTTAATAGACAGATATAAAATTATACAAAAATGGCGAATAGCATTTTTAATTTATATCATCAGGCAAAAAGAAACTAAACAGAGGCCACAGACTTAACGATATAGTTTCTACTGCAAATTTACAATCATACAATAGTGTTCAAAATACTAATACAATAAAATAATTAAAATAAAAATTTTAAGAAACTTAATTAGTTTAATATGTATTTATGACTGACTATATGAACGCTAGCCCCAGCCAGATCAAAAAGCAGCGTCGATAATGTTTATGCCAAAATAAAACGAGAGTTGTAGAAACAAACGAGGAATAATGAAACGCTAACATATTCTGAAACATAAGTAAATACATCAAGCAGACATTTTTAATAACATACATTCCATTTAACTGGTATGCTAATGGTAAAATGAAGTGTTAGAACTCTGTCTTTAATTGCACAATAACAAAGCCTATATCAGCATGTAAAAAAATGTTTTAATTGTGATATCATTTGAATAACATATTATTTAGAACTAAATGACTCATGAGAAATAAGAAGAAACATTAAACTAATATAAGTATCTCAAACAAACTCTTGACAAAACTTGTAATATCCTAGCTAAAATCGAATTCTTTTAATGCTAGAAAACTAAAGAACTAAGTAGCGACTATTTGCGTATTTCTTATGCATAAGTAACAACCCCAGAGAAAGGTTAAAATACCTTTTTATTCTAACTCAAAGACAGATTAACAGTTGGCCGCTTTGGGGCGTACATGAAGCCTCCACTTGAGCTTTAACTCAAAACAGAAATTATAAAACTAACTAATACTAAAATAGAATTAATCAGTCTAAGCGGCACAGGATCAATCTAGCGTAGATGGCACGAATCACCGGCTTAAGCTAAACAAGCAAGTAATAAGTACGACCGTAGGCTAGCAAGCTTTAACTAATAGCGACAACGTGCTCTCCTACTGAAATAACTCAGACCTCAGCTTAAATACCAGTTTCTACTTTATTTGCATAAAACGTAATACTGAAAACTCAGTCCGGCAAAGAAACGTAAATATAAAAATGAGAACCGTACAGGAAAGGTTTGTTTTAAAATTAAAATAACTATTAGAAAAATAAAATAAAATCCTAAAAACTACAGAATGCATTTTCATGATATACAAAAACAAAGTGTGATGCAGCAAATTTAGGTGTTGAAAATCAACAATATAGATCTGAGATGATGTACAACTTTCTTGAAATATAGAAATAAATAAACTATGCAATGCAGTTCTTTTTTGTATAGTTTTATAACCTATTCATATCACAAATTTATGGTTCTTTATTTATTATTCTCAAGTTTGTTTAATTATCTATTTACGTGAACCTCCTGTATCTGTACACCATTTTCGTTTTTACGCTGTTTCACTTTTTCTATCTCTAAGGTTTCATTCGAAGATCAATCAGTCCAGAACCTCTCTCAAATCCAGAACCCTCTATCAATCCAGAACGTCATCAAACAATAATATTTACAATTATCTTTTAGCCTATCACTCACCCTAATTCAGTCTGCAACTTAAAACGCAACTAAAATGAAGGTGTTTTTTTTTTCTATTTCTTAACTTATTCATTTGGTAATTTATTGCAAGGTATCGTCTCCTTCCATTACCGTGTGTCTTCGTTGTGTAATTAGAAGCACATGCAATCAACAGTCGGGAGGTTCGGAGTTCGAACCTGGCAAAACCACTGCGGACTCTTGACGTTTCAATGTTTCAAAAAACTCTATGATGACACCGCAAGTATCAACCGAACTAAAATGTGGTGGCCGATAATTCGTCACCACCAGGATTTCGCAACTGCTTTCCTTCTTCCTCAATTGCTCTTAAAGTGGGAATATAACAAAATTTATCTTTTATAGCTTGCCTTCGTGGTGTAATTGTAAAGCATTTAACATTACGACTATTATACGGAGGTCCGAAGTTCGAATGCAGGGAAGGGCGGCGTTGAGTTTTCGTGTTTCTTGCTCAGATACACTTAATGAGTCTACATTACATCCGGAACTAAATGCATGAACACGAAAATTCACATAAATATAAAACCTTTCAGGTTTACTCATGGAAATCTGTAAGAGTTTCACTATTTAGTCTCCTTTTTTCATAAACAGTAAAGAATAAAACGGAGCAGTGCCACTAGAAATAAATAGGGGAGGGGTTAGAAACAATGAAAACTGCTATTGAAAAACACAGCGTAAGTCAACAATTTAAAACTTTAAAGGAAAGAAACCTTTTTATTTAAAATCACAGATTCTTTCATTTCTCCCATTTAACATCTAGAAAAATTTCAGAAACTTAGTGCGGCATGAAACAAAATTGTAAAGAGCTAAGCTAAATTATCATCAAAATTCCGTTTCTGCTAGAAATAACGTAATAACAAGTTCTCATATAAAACGCAGAACCAAAAATCTTTCATTTTCCAACATTCCAGCTTAATGCATACTCATTGTACCAATATTTTCTCCATATTTCCTTACCCCGAAATCTTTTTAAAAAGACTTTATTTTAACAGCAAATAAATCTATGCAAAGAAAGTAATTCTGCATATGGAGATGGACAGTCTTACAAAGTTGACGGTATTTATCTATTTTCCATGACAGATTTACACTATTCAAGGCTTTTGTAGTTGAATAAAGAAAAATTCTAAAGCACATATTAGTTTATTAATATCATTGTACTAAGAATATTACGAACGAATTAGAATGATGTAGCGAAGAATGTAGTAAAAATCGAAACTCAAGGGAAAAAATCTATCTTAATTTTTTTTTTTAAATACACTATAAATGAATATAATTTTAAAATCTTGACAAACATATCTTACGTACAAGATCTTAAAAACATATCTTTAAATACCGAAAACCTTATCCTTACGGTTACAATTTTTATTTAGTTACTGCAGAACTACCTGCTGCTATACTCATCAGCTCATCCAATGGAGCCTGCCATTTTTTTGGGCGGGGCGTTAATCATTTCCTTCTTTAAACTTTACGAATTAAATAAAACATTTTAATACTTATTAGATTAAGTTTAAATTATTTTATTTCTTTAACTTACAGGAGGTTGTTTGACCTCTTATACCTACCGTCCACTTGAATATCTTTGCTGACTAGCAAAATTTACCTACAAATTTACCTATCTATGTTTTAGTAACACAGTTTAGTGCAACTGCGAAACAATTTTTAGACGTGAAACTGTGTAAAATACTATGGACTTAAATTTATCTTTTATTTATATTTTACATATTTTTATATAAAGATAATTTAAAATTAATGCATTTTTGAATCTCCATCAATACAGCGCCTACTAGTGCTTAGCTGCTAAAACTGAACAAAAAGAATACAAAAACAATACAGCATATTTAATTTAACTTTAATCAGTTATCAGTGACATTCTTGAGGATTAAAAGCCCCAAATAAAAATTTTAGATGTGGTGCAGTTTTAGTTAAGAAATAAACGATGATCCAATATTTTAAGGACAATTTGTGGCAAACTCCACCCTTGTCTTGTACTAAACACACAGCTTTGGTTCGGGATCTCATTTTGTTTTTCAGACGTTCACAAGTATACGTTAAAAACTGTGTGGTGAGTTATGAACTGCATTTAAAGATTAGAGATAACTTGGGAAGCTATTAATAATATATCCTATATATATATATTAATAATGTATGTATTAATAATGCATGTACATAATGTATGGTATACTAGTGTATTTTAGAAATAATTAGCATAACGTATTTTAGAAAGAACAAAATTCTATTTCCCCTTCATTTCAAGCTTCACCTAAAGGAAGTGCTGAGATTCTTCCTCCCGAGGTACTTAATGCCGTTTCAAATATGTCTTTCCAATCAATCAGTTCTAATTTAAAGCTCCTCGCTGTTGCCGGTTGCTTGCTGTTGCCGGTCCTCGCTTTTGCCGGCTGCTCGCTGTTGCCGATTCTTGCTGTTGCCGGTTGTTGCCTCCTCGCTGTATCGGTGTCCATTACTTAACTGTTGGAATAGCTCAAGACTTCATTTTTTGTCAGGACTAAAAGACATCATTTGTGCTTTCATGAGACACCACAATCTGACAGGGAAAAAATTCTTGATTGTATTTCCTTCCACTCTGTCCTTGCTTTTCTCAAATATTCAACAATAACCTCCAAAAAAGTTTTAGAATTAATTCATCTCAATTTATTGACTTATTTTACTTAAACGGACTACATTCAAGCATTCAATACTACATCCATTTCTTAATTAATCTACATAGTCTATTAATTTAATAAAAATATATAATAGTAGTCACTGTACGACACATACATTAAAGTTTAAATGATTAGATAATTCCGAGATCTAAAAGTTACGATTAGCTAGTGGTATTAGGACATGAAAACAATAATAGGTCTAGCATAATAACTCCATAAACAGTAATAACTTCTTGCGTGTCCGAGGCATCACTTAAATGCAAATATGTTATTCGTAACATGTGCACAAAAAAGAGACCAAAAACTTAATATAATATTATACGAATGTGATAAATCATTCAAAAAGAGGCAAAATTAAACAAATATATATGCCAAAGTAGGTCATGTTAAGAAACGATAAAATTTATGATTCAGGAATGATTTACTGCTTTTGTTCCTTAATGGTTACTTGAACAAATTTATAACAAGTCATGGTCCGCTTTCTTTTCATTTCTGATCAAAGAATCTCTCTTCTTCATAGCTGTGTGTAAGCAGAGAAAAAAAAAAGAAATCCAGATCAACAGAAAAAAAAAACAATTATCTAAAAACTGATCAGGTGATTTTAATTACGTCAAATAAAATTTGAATCAAAATATTTCGAGCGTTTCCTACATCTTAAATCCTACTGTATTATTTCAAATGAAAAAGCTCTAAAATATGCAAAAAAGCTAGTATTATTATGACGAGAATTTGAAGAATGATGCATTCATTTTAATGATTTACAATCCAATTTTGCATTACTTTCATTACCATTAAAATAAAAGTGAATAACCACCAGAAAATCTAGAAATGGAGCTAATTAATTTATCGGTGTCACCCAGATTTTATCCAAGTATTTTGAGATACAGATTTGATTCACTTAGGTTTGTACTTGTCAAATAATAAATAACCTCAGTTAGGAATTTTTGCAATCAAAATACTAATCGCTTTGTTTGGTAGTACATTTATATGAGAGCGTGTTTATCACAGTTGAAAATTACTAAACCTGAGAAAAGAGCCTAACTGACCGATGAGCATCTACCATGATGAAAATGGTTCGTGGTAAATTTTCTTCAAAGGTACAGACTTTTCAAATCGAAATGCCATCAAGTGTCAAGTTGTAGTAAGAAATAAAGAAGTTTACAGTTTACATACATATGTATTATTTTCCTCATATGTCAAAGAAAAATTTAATAAATAAAAGAAAGAAGGTTGTCATTACCTACTTTCACGTTTTGTTTCAACCCTTCAAAATTTTTCTCTGGAATTTGGAAAGATTTTCTAAAATTTATTTATTTTTAGTTTCAGTAAGGTAGTTAGTAGTTAATTTAACATATTAGAATCACTTGAAATAAATATCAGTTTGAAAATTTAACATTTAGCTGTATAAACTTTTGAAATGCATATTGTAACTAAGATAAATTTCTTGCAGTTACCAAATTTAGATTTCAGATATAAAATAATTTAAATTAATTTTTTTCTTTATGTTATTATTATTATTGTTTATTATGTTTCGTTAAATAACTGTGAGGGTTAGGCACTTATAGAAAGTAGAAAAAAAGAATTTAAGAAAGAAAGAATTTAATGATTTTAGTCACGGAGAGAAGGAAAAATTGTAAGTTTGACAAATGAAAAGTAAGTATAGCGAAACACATTGTATAAAATACAACTGAATGTTATTAAAATAAATTTTCAGTTAAAACGTGTTCAAATCAAATTTTATACATATATGTAATAGATCTGAGAAGGTTTATTGAGTAGGTGTAACTTGACAAGGTTTTGCGTTAAAAAATTAAATTCAGATGAATTTCCTGTTACATAATAAATAATAGATAGATGGTTGTATAATATTTTAACTGGAGATCCCGAGACAAATAAATCCACCCTTTTGACGCACTGTAATAGTTTTAGAGCTTTAATAATTATCCAATCAAATGGTATTGAAACCGAAACTAACTCACTGTGAATTAAAATTTCGTCTTGACTACTTCACTTCGCTGCTGCTTTTTGGACAAGGTAGATTGTTGCTGCTCTACTCTCTTCTTACCGCAAAGATATCTGAAATGTAAATGTTACATTCTGGAAAGGCGTGATTAATGTATCAAGGTTTTGTGGCCACAAAATGTTTAGTTAAAATAAACAATATGTTATTTAAATTCAACACGTCTGCCAGTTTCTGCTTATTTAGCCATCCACGGTCAATCTACGACGTCACCATCATGTCTCTTATGCTAACGAGTCATCATTCTAACGAAGCAGTAAACATCTCAAAAATAATTATACATATATATACATGTAATATTATGACTTGGCAATAGCTCTAATGGACTGGCAGACAGAAGTGATAGAATTCAACATAATTTCATTATTAGGTAAGGCAGTTCTGGTGACACAATAATTGTTTCACACATGATTACGGGTGCAATATGCATCCCATAAATTTGAAAGCTATGATCTATTATATATTAAACAACAGAAAGTAATGCAGAGCGGCGAACAAATGTGGGTTAAGTAAGCATGAAGAAGCATAAAAAGAATATGTGTAGCTGGATTGCAGAGGCATTTATAACAATTTTTTTCTTTAATATACCATGTTAAGAACTATACGCAATCAGAAGGTTAAAATAACATAATGCGGAATTAGTTTTCAGATACGACACAGTTTCGAAAAAGCTATTACTATTTTTAGAATACAGAGGGGGAAGTTCCCAAATTAAAAACAGAAATTAAAGGGCTATTGCTAGTTTAATATATAATTCATATTAAATACTTTTTTAGCTTACATATCCCCCCCCTTCAAAGAGAAAAGGCTTCGCGACTGAAAAGCCTTTTGAGAAAAAAGCACTAGGGCGAAAGCACAAAAACAAAAATTTTGTACAATATATGGAATTCCAATGAAAGTTAATGAATTGCTTAAGATGTAATTCAGAAATATCAGAACAAAACATGAGACAATCTGCAAATTAAATTCAAAGCCAAGTTTTAAAGTCTCTATAGTATAAATTTGTAAATTTTTGAGATGGCTTGAAGATCATGTAATATGAAATGTAATTTTGAAATTTTGCGAAATATTTCATAAAAAGTATGTGTTGTTGCCATTATATTTCTATTACATATTCAGGTATTTCTATGATATTTAATACTCATTTATTATTGTAAAACAAAACTAAATTTTCTTATTATAGAGGAATGTAATAATTAATACAAAGAAATAAAGAAAATGCAACACAATATAAACTTTGATGAAAAATTGGAGAGGTCGTCTACTAGCGAATCAGCATAACTACTTGCTGATGACTGCGGGGAATGCTTAAATACAATCAGACATAAAAACCTCCGTTACTTATAAAAGGCAACTGGCTTTTAAATTCTATGAAGCATTGTAAGAAGAAAAATTAAAATTTACTATTTATGGTCATAAAAATTCCTTTACATTGTTTACTTGAAATAAAAAATAGGTAATATAAAAATTAAAACTTAAAGCTAAGACGAATAACTTGAATACTCAAGAAATGTCCTAGAAATTTAAGCATATTTTTACATTACCCTACAATATTAAATTTTAAAAAAAGGTAGACAAAACAGGAGTCAGGTTAAAAATCAAAATAAAATTTGGAAGCAAAATTGTCATAATTAATTTTTCGAATCTTCATAATTGTTTAGGAAAGATCTTTTAAATGTTTTCACACAACATAGAAAATATAAAAATTTTGAATACATTCATTAATTATTGTACATAATCACAAAAAATTTCAAAGTTTTATAACTAATTTTGATTCCATTTAGTCTCCTTTTGAAATAATTTTATGGAATTAGGCTATCTATTATTATTATTGACACATATCTAACTTACTTGATTTTGCAAAAAGTGGAAGACCCTACAGCTTTCTCTAAATACCAGCATACCCATCTTATGAGCAATCCACATTAACAAACTGATATATGAATTCACTACATGGTCAATAGGATGTTCAGCAGTTACTTTTTAAAGGAATCCGTTCCTGGTTTAAAGGCAACCGGCCTTTAACCAGGAACTAACACATTTTATTTCTAACAAACTAACACATTTTATTTCTAACAAACTAACACATTTTATTTCTAACAAAAATATTAACCTCATACAATTATAAAGAAAACTACTAAGTATAGAGGAAAAAAATTAAGTATTTTCTCATAACGTGGGAGACTTCAAAGTTTATATTCACTTCATTCTTAAAATAATTGAAAAATTCTTAGAATTCAAATCTTTAAGCAATAATCTCATTCTTAAAATAATTCAAAAATTCAAAATATTAATTCAAAAGCATTTAAACAATAATGCAAAAATATATTAATCATACTAAGAAGCTTCCCTAAATAAAAATTCAAAATTCTTTAATTTGTTAACCAAATTAGTAAAATTCGAATTTGCAATTCCACAAAATTTTTAATCTTTCAGTTTTATAAAACAATGCTACACTTTTAATTCTATATAAGAAGAAACAGCATTATGTGTTAAAATTTTACAATAACATTAATTCATTAATAAATTATTTAGTTCAGGTTGTAGAGTTCCTCACTTAGTAATTCTAAGGTTATGTTGGAAGTGAAGAATCTTAAGAACTGATAACAGAATAATCGCTCAAGTTCGGGTGACAAGAAACAACAAGAAAGAAGGGTAACTAACCCTTTATTATTCCAATAACAAAACTCCGCCTGGGAGTGTACAAACAAAGCCGACACTTGGGCTTGAACTTAAGAGATTAAAAAATTAAACTAAAACTAAGATTGACTAAAGAAATATAGCCGAAGCTATCAAGATTCAAATCGAGTTGGCCCCTTAACTTATTTGACTACGAAACTTAGCAAGGGCCTGAGTACGGCCGAGCGTAATAACAGCTTTGAGAGAGAGAGTGGCCAAAAGGGCAGACGCGCGTAAATCAGAGACTCTGATTCTCTCTCCCTCTGTAAGTAACTTCGTGGTTTAAATACCGCTCCTCATTAAATATTCAGCAAGATTCCAAAACTACGTTCTGGCCGGAAGCAGCAAGTTGAAGTTAAGAATTTGACAGGAAGGAACTTTAATTTAAAATTTAACTGTTAATAAAATTAACATAATCCTTGCAAGGTTTACAAAAAAATTTAAACATATTCCATCAGCAAAAGTGTAAAATGCACCAACAAAATTAACAAATGTGAAAGCATTAAAAAGAAAATACAAGAATACTTGTGATTTCATTCTCTGAACACTATGTTTTATGTTTCACTGATGAAACAGTAATTTCCTACACTTTGACCGAAAGAAAATAATTATGGATAAACAGTTTACAAAGCCGCATATTAAAAAAGCAGGTATCAGAAACGGATGAAAAACATATTCCCGCAGTTCAACATGTACGGTGTAAATGACACTAAAATAACTGATGAATCGGATGCTGAATCATTTTGTAGCTGATTTTAAATACTCCTATTGAGTTTAAAGCACTGGTTGACCGCAAAGCGTTAATTAAATCACAGATGATCACACAATATTTTTTTCTTTTTTTAGATACTGGGCAGAACACGAGCGAGGCTTTAAATAACGCAGAAATTAAACATAGACATGGCACAAACTTCCACAAGAATTATGAACGTAGAAACGTAAAGCGTAGAACTTAGATTATGAAGGTAGAAATTAAAAATAGGCATGGCACAGCCTTGCATTAAAATGAGTCTCCCCGAAATTGATTCACTGCGCAAGTAGAAAGACAAAGCCGTGTAGATTTCTTGATTAAAAGAACTGGCCGAATAAATTTTGCCATTGGAGTTTTGAAACACAAGAAGCCGTGCTGTTGACTCATTGTATTATGACTTGGGAATAGCCGTAATTGACTGCCAGACAGACAAACATAATTTTATTATTGGATAAACCAGTTCTGAAGACACAAAGTTTGCTTCGCACATGATTATAGGTGCAATATGCGTCTCACAATTTTTTAAGTTGTGACGTATAAGATTTTTAAGAGATAAAAGGTACTTCAGAGCGACGAACATATGTGAGTTAACTAAGCTTAAGCAACACCGAAAGAGAGTTGCGTAGTTGAAATGCAGCAGCATTTATTGTAAAATTTTTCTTTCATCTGAATGGTTAAGAACTATACGCAATGCAGAAGGTTAAGATGACATAACGAGGAATTAGTTTTCAAACACGAGACAGTTTCGAAAAAGCTATTTCCATTTTTAGAATAGAGAGCGGGAAGTGCCCAAATTAAAATGAGGAATTAAGGGTATATTGTTAATTTAATGTAGTATTCATTCATAGTGACATGTGTTTTCATCTTACACACACACACACATATATATATATTTTCACTACAGTTTTGTTAACAAAAAAAGTGCTTCCCATCAGCTGCTTTTAGGTTGTACATTCCGGACGCAGGCAAAATGAGTTTGAGATCACTGCTTTAATATATTAATTAATAATAAAGGAAAAGTTTAATGGCATAATAACACTGTTGACAATGTCAACAACAAATTATATAATTATCCAATATGAAATCATTAGAAGGAATATTTAGTTCGCTTTCAAGAGGTAAGTATAGTTAATTTTATTCATTGTGGCAAGATAGAGTTCTTGCTATCAGCAAGAGTCTGCAGAGTGTTGTTCTTGTTTTGTCTGGTACGTTTTGCAGACTGAATTAATCACGCCCTTTCAGCTTTTCTTTTGTATTCTAGGTCTTGTGATTAATTACAGTGGATCAGAGTAGATGAAGAATCATTACCCATGCGGACTTTAATGAAACACACAAGCAGGTTGCTAAACTCCTCTGATACTAGTCGTGATATAATGTGCGACAAAAATTGACCGAGGTATATGATATCAAAATTTGCGACTTTTGATGCCCTTTTGAATTTACACTAAGGGGTCAGTTAGTAAATAGATTTGAATAATTCAAGGCTATTTTCTCTCAATGAACGAAAGTATTTCGTGATTAATTTTGTTGCATTTGGTGTGCCAAAACAAGTTTCACACAAGAACTTGAAGTTTTCAAAGTCTAAAAATCAATCACCTTAGCAAAAATTGCCAAATTTTCAGAATG